TAATGATATCTTCTGTTCTTTATAATTGAAATGTGCCTCAGCTGACAGGCTGCTTGTTATCTATTTCTTGCAAACTTGAATATTAACCAGTTTGAGACTATAGTACATGTTTTATGTATATTTTTCAAAATGTTCATTAAATTTTACTTAAATTGTCTTCTTTTTGTGGTTCTTTAGATAGATAATCTTGATTTAAACTTGATAACTCCAGTACTTATTTTTATGGGGGGTAAAGTGTAACATAACAATTAATTATTCTGATACTATTTGTGAAATGAAGTACTTTTTGACTCCCGTGTGGTGAAGCACAAAATGGGAGTCTTTGCAGTTAGTGTGTCTGTCTGTGTGTCCGTGTGTGTGTCTGTTCCATTGATATCTCAAGAACCAATGTTCGGATTTCAATGAAACTTGGTATATAGCTTGTCTGGGATAATTCGCAGAATTGATTAGTTTTTGGTTGACATTCATGCATATTAATGAGCTCATCTGCATAATAATTTATGAATTTTAAGCTATTTCAGTTATATCTCAAGAAGCATTAAAACGATTTTTATGTAACTTGGTAAAAATGTTACTAATGATTGGCTGCTGCAATTCATTGTTTTATTTTACATTTTAATTAAAATTTAGCATTTTTTATGTATTTTTTTATTATTATTTTTTTTTATCTGCCTAATTGCATGAATACAACTAAAAGGAATTGGTGAGTGGACTAATTTGCATAATGATGCGCATGCGTATTCTATTTTTTATGACCAGCAATTTATGATGGTATCAGCCATTTTGTTATTTCCAGTGTGTTGTACAAAAATGAATCAAACGCCCGGGAGATGACATGTATCAGTTTACAATAATAATAATAATAATAATAATAACTTTATTGCATCCTTAGAAGTACAAATGTTCTATTGGTTTACAGCAATAAATATATAAGTGATTAAAATAATATCAAAGTATGATAACGTAAAAAAATCAAGGTATTATATCCAAAGAAAGCTCTTAAAATGAATGATTTATGTAAAAATTCCCCTAAAAGTTTTATTATATTTCTGTCATTACTTTTCATTAAATATGTGAATTTTTGCAGGTTGGTAATGATTTCTTTGGGGAATAAAATATTGGAAATAAAATCATTTCTATCTGTTTGATATCGTGGGCAAACTAAAAGAAAGTGTAATTCGTCTTCGACTTCCTGTAATGGGCATTGTTTACAAATTCTATTTTCTAATGGTTTTTTTTTCAATGGCTATTGTAATTTATTTTAAATTTAATGTATGATCCCCATTTTGTTTTTTCATTTGTCATATTCTTTTCCAGTATGTTATGTATTGTTGTTTAATAGTGCTGCTAATTTCCTTAATATTTTGATGTGATAGCTGTGATGTTTTAGAGAGGTCTGCATCTTTCAAGATGTTTTTGACTGATGTTTCCCATTGTGCTTTTGACAAAGTCTGATCGCTTAACGCTATCTTTGTATAATTATTTTGTGACTTGTCTGTGACACAGGACCAGAACTTAATCATATTGATTTTCACTTCAGTTATCAATGGAAATGCTCCAATTTCACCCCGACATGCACTATTCACTGTGTATTTATTAAGCCCAAGTAGTTGTTTAATGAATTTTAGATGCACTTTTTCTGTTATAGTTTTGTCCCAGTTATTGTTACTCATACATTGTATTTTCCATTCCCCAAATTTCAGATCCATACAGTAAAATTGGTTTGATAGATATATTAAACAGATGGATGTACGTTTTACAGTCTATTTCTTTTGGTAAAGACTACTTTAGTGCATACATGGCTTTGATTGCTTTATCTGCTAGGTTGTCTCTAGCTTCTGTAAATTTACCATTTGACTGAAAGATTATTCAAGATAAATATGAGTTGACACAGCAAAGTTTTTCATTTTGAAATTTTTGAATTTCATTTTGTATTTTTCATTTCTTTGTAGTGTTGCCCTTCTGAATACAAGAATTTTAGTTTTCACAAGATTTACTTTGATTTTCCATTTTTGGCAATAATCTTGTAGTTTATTAAATGCATTTTGTAGGCCCTTTTCTGTTATTGAAAATAGCACCAGATCATCGCGTGCGCGCATGCTCTGCATGCTCTGAACATATGCTAGGTTTTGATTAGTTTTTGGTAATAATCCGTGGATACTAATTACCTAATTTGCATAATGATTCGTCAATTTTCGGTTTTTCCACTGATATCTCAAGTACTAATCATCACATTTCAATGAAACTTGGTACATAGATGTCATATGACACTGCACAGACCTGATAGTTTTTATGGTAATATCAGTACATATAATTACCTAATTTCCATAATTAATTTTCAGCTTTTGATATTAGTGTGTGGCTGTGGGAATTCAGTTCGAATAAATCGCCACGTTTAATAAATCTCCACAGAACATACAGCAGACTCAAGTGATCGAGTTCAAAAGAAAGTCGTAATGACTTCTTTATTCATGGGTAGAATGCTGATTACAGCAGTAATTACCAGTAATTACAGCAGTAGTACAAACTTCAGTATTAAAACTGTGAATGCCCTTGATGAGGGACAAATAGGTGAATAACTTGAATAACTATGAACTAAATTCAAATGTTAACTCCATTGATG